TAACGTGACAGTGCAGCCTACTCCGTCAAAAAAATTCGAGCCGTACCTCATACAATAGAGCTGGATCGCTCTCCCCTTGCACTGGTGCAGCCCAGACATTGCTCCTTCTAACTGCGAGTTGCCTCCCGTACTCGACCGTTATATGGACAAGAAAACCTCCAGAACCCGAGCCCAATTCAAAATTGAGATGTTGTCCAACTTTGCGTCGCGCCGGCCTGCATTGTGAAGCGATGGCATCCATGAGGTGCTCAAAAACTGGCAAGGATCCCGCAATAACATTGCTGTATAATTTTGATCTTGTACGCCTCTCTATAAAAAGAAAGCTCAATTTGAAAAAAATGTGACAGAACTTTCCCGCCAACCTAATACATTGACCTAAAACCTTCTTATCATCAGTGTTATTATGCCATGCAGTGGGACAGTGCAGACGTAAAATATAAATAGAGTTAGAACTATTCAAAAATCTGAAAAGAAGCAGAAGAAGCTGCAATGTCTTGCTGCTCAACACATTTCTTAGTCTAAATCACATTTTAGCATTAGGTTGGCTGGGAAATTCTGTCATATTTTCTAAACTCAAAATACTTGCTCTCAATATGGAGAGGTGTGATATATAATTCGAGCAGTGATACCCAAATTGACAATCTTCCAATTAGTACCACTCACTTGTCTACCACTTCTTCTTGTTTTGCAATATGGACAAGATTTGCGTCTTGTACCGTCACCCTCGAAACCCCTTCAAACTCACACTCTTTCTTCCTCGAGCATGACTGCTGCAGAAGCCAAAATAAAGGAGTCGCATGAGGACGATGCCTCCAACTATAGCACAGTCTTTCATAAGGGAGACGGTAAAGAGGATCGTAATTCGCCGCACCGCCACGCGCGGCGATGGGCGCGGCGTTTTCACTCGTTTTAACCTGTCGAATGGAGCACCGGACTTCATGTAGACCCCGTCATCGTAAACATTCATTCTGTGGTCTGTGGACGATCTGTGGTCTGTATGTACTTGTGAAGACAGCCTAAGCGAGGTACGGCTCGTTAAACTACTGGAAGAAGTGTCGGTCAATCCTCACTCCGAAGTGAATCCCTGAACAGGGTGAAAAAAATTGTTCGCACAGTCCGTCTTTAACATGACAGTGCAGCTCACTCCATCCAAAAGGGCGATTCGAGCGTCATGCAGTAGAGCTGAACTACTATCCTTTTGCACCGGTGAAGCCCTGGAGTTACCCCTTCCAGCGCTCATTGTCTTCCGTTCTAACCCGTGACACTTACAGTGACATGAACGAGAAGAACTTCACGACCGGAGCCCAAGTCAGGACCGAGATGGCGTCCACCTTTGCGTCGCGTCGGCTTGCACTGTGAAGAGATGGCATCCATAAAGCAGCTCAAAAACTGTTGAGAACCCTGCAATAACAGCCGATTTTTGTGTTTCTATTTATAAAATAAAAGCCTAACTTTGAAAATATGACAGAACTTTCCCGCCAACGTAATACTGTTGCTAACAATTTCCCCATTTTTTTCTCTTTCTTTTTATTCGCTTTGAATTGTCACCAGCACGGTTCTCTGGTGCTGGGTAATGGGTGAAAGCCTCCACCCGAGGCAGGACTTGAATGCACCTAACGCTCACCGGGCGATTGCGCTATCGCTATGCTACCAGGGCCTCCCGAGGGCCCCTCGCGTTAAGTTTACATGTGTTGCTGACTATTAGTTTATAGGTACTGAATGGTTAGTGAAGTACGAAGATTTGCGAAAAGGTTGTATGTAGGCAAACGAGAGCGTGACCCGCACGTACTAGGAATCGGAGGGTCGAGTCTGACAACCACATCTAATCCATGTTCGATGCCTGTATCTTGTTATGAGAGCTCTTTGAAGATTCACCCGCCTCACACAAGCGTGGTTTTCTCCGTGAGCAAACTTAGACTTCAGCTCACCAGAAAAGGTCAACCAGGCGAGCCCGCGCCATTCATGCAGTGAGAATGCACATCTCATTGTATCATCCTGACACGGTAACCTCGAACTACACAGCCTTTTAATTTGCGGAACGATTCTGCCTGGAGCCGGAGTTATAGATGGTTTTTTCTACCCTAGTCTTTTCTTCTAAACCAGGGCGAGGTGGCGCATTTCGAACAGCGTTGGCCCTGTAGCCGCGCAACTCACCACGCGCTCTGCGGCGCAAAACAAAGTTGCAGTGTTCGGTGTCCAGCGGGGTCAAGATACCTAGGCGGTCACCTTAGAAATCTGAGGTTCTGACCATCAAGCTTTTAAAAAAATGCGGGATGGATAGTAAAGGCTGATGATAGCTACAGGCGACTACTTGGTGACTAGCATAACTGTGTAGTGATTGGTCTTCGACTAAATATCTCAGGTCTGGTTCTTTTCTCGGCAAAGCAACGTAACTGCTTAACATTATTTTAGTGCCAGTTTGGCCGCACATATTTTTTTTTTTTAGCTATCGTAGGAATTCCATTCACGAGAGTCAGTCCTCTATGGTGGGCGAGCTCGCAACTGCGTGCTAATTAGCATCGCGGAATAACATTTTACCCAAGACTAGGTCGAATGTCAGATTTCGCTAGAAACTTGGTTTCCGAGGGTTAATTTGACCGCGCTGAGACAGTGCAATACATGGATCTTCTTTAGAACCATAATGGGTGCTACATTTTGAAAAAACAACTGGTCGGAGTTCGCCATCGTACAGGGTACGCTGCAAGGCGAGCACAGAGATGTGTAAAAGCATTCGTCGGCCATGTGTCCTTCCGGGCAAACTGCAACAAACGAACACGCCCTGCCGGAGAAGCACAGTCACGTCTTGGCGCAAGAAATGCCCGCTCCTACGGCCGTTGCGCGCTCTACCTACCCCGCCCACGCTTTCAGCATCATATCCATACATAATAGTAACTACGCCCCGCGCTTCGCATAGTTTCGCCGAAACGGTAAGCGCGTGGAAGACAAACCACGCGGGATAAAGACCCTCCATAATTCCGTCAAGAGAATCGTTCCGCAAAGTTCTGAAGGTAGAAGGTTCACCGTCAAAGGCGTGTACTACGCGCTGTAGCAGATCATTTATAAGATGCCGGGCTGACCTGTTTGAATGACAAAGGTTATGACGTCGATTTTTGCACTGCCTCCAGTCAGGCGTGCTGATCAATAATCCTGTATGGTCGTCCTTCCAAGATTAGTTCGGTGGCAGGGTCAATGTTATGACAATGTGAATCCGAAGTTGTTGTCTCCGTATCTACTTTACTCTCTGAGCGAGCTCGACGCTCGAGCGCCTGGTTGGGACTACTGCGGTATCGTACATTGTTTTGACTAATCGGTGAGTTGATGGAACATGCTGAGCCTTTTACGTAGTAAGACGAGCCATCGTTACTGACGACGAAAGTTGAGTGATCCCAACGACAGAGGATGATCCTCTCAGCTCTGAATATTATGGGCACAATGACACCGATAATTGAGAGATGAGGTGGCGAATTTCCAGAAACCGCGCTTCATCATCATCTTAGACGATAGCTCATTATTCAAAAACACTTTTTCCCTGCCCTAGTGTTAGCAGTGTCCCGTCCGAAGCTTAGCTGCTATTCTTAGATGCCTTCACTTTTTCCCATCCAGTACATCTTCCGCTGTGGCATCCACTTCATTAAGATCCATCTTGACAACACGAAAGAATACTGCGGCACACAAAACCAGCATGAACGGTGTAGATCCCTGGTGCATTGCAGACGCATACATTCTGCACTCCCTCTGAACAGTCTCTCGTCTCTGGGTTCCGATCGTGTCATTGGAATTGCCAAAGTAGAGTCCATATCACGGAGGTGAGATGGGCGTGGCTGCGTAGTTCATTTGACCTTGAAGTAGATGCTTGTTTCGTGGATTTTCTATCGGAGCCAACTGCCACGCTGTCTTATGGTGGACAAGGGCATGGTAGCATTCATCCCAGAACGGCAAAATCTCGCCAAAAGAGCAGCCACTGTTAGCGCAGTTCGGCGACGTGGGGAGGCATTTTGCACTTTCGTTGCTTCACTAGTTCCGGTTTACAAGTCTCACTCTGGTGAAACCTGTGAACTCTTGTGAAGCTGGAGCAAGCTCGTCAAGCCATCATGGTAAAACCTGTCAACTCGAGAAGAGGCTGTCTAGATGGGTCGACACGTCGATGGAAACCAGCAAAAGTGCAAAACGGCCCTCCCTGGTCGCCGAACTTCCCCCTACCCAGCTGCCACATTCTTATGGAGTGCGCAGCCACTCCCTCCTCATACGCGGGATATAGAGTTCCGATCGGGCCCATGACCGGGCTTTGTTCATTTTTTGAGCCCAAAACACTTCTAGGTCCGAAGAAAAATATAATAAGGATAATTAGGCCGGAACCAAAAAGCACAAAAAACCACTAGCCTCCCACTCAAAAAACATCAAGAGGCACGTTTCTAACTAAACCAACCAACAGGGTTACAAAACAAATATTTTTATTTACGACATTTAAGCAATTTAACAACGAGGAATCAATGGCAGTCAACGTGTTATAGGAACAAATGCATAGAAAACACACTAGCTACATACCCGTCATAACGATGGTGTTTGTCAGAGAATGTCGAGAAGAATTTTCACCTATATAACGAGATTATTATGTAACTGAATAACTATCAGCTAATTTTCTACAACAACGGAATTCACAGGCAACAAAAGCCGGGATCAGAGCTAAGCTAAACTAAAATCTCAGAACGGAGCTAGAAACGAGGCAGTCGTCAAAGAATGGGAATTCTTCCTGTCTTTTTTGAAGGTATCATGAATACCCTGATCGTAACATCATCAGATTATATCACATAGTGGTGGCCATTCGGCACTACGTCATCTTGCGCTGAAAAAAAGTATCAGAGTAAAGCGAGTATCGCAAAGAAAGCTATGTAGTAAACGCATATATCCAAGGGCTTTTAGAGTTGTATAGACGACTGAAGGCGAATCTGGGCCTTGCAATAGTCTGTACAGGAGAGCTACACCTCCAAACACCTATGCGATGACTTGCAGCGCTGAAGTAAGGCCCTGTGCCCCTTAAAGGCAGAACCCGCGATTATTCGCCATCTCAGATAGTGGATTAGGGGGTTCCATATAGACGACAAGGGGTTGAGTAACTCGACAGTGAAGAAAAAAGCACAAAAAACATGCCACCTGCCCTAGATAGAACCCCATTTCGATCCCAGTTTGTACGTGCCCAATTAACTCTATCTCCCACACTACGCCCTCATACGCACAGCTGATTCACCGATAAATCTACGATCGTACAAGTGACGATTTTCATGCTTTTTCGTCCTGCAATCTCGTTTT